GTTTTTAAAAAACACAATACATCTGTTTGGTTTGCTCTTGACATGATAAATAAATATTCTGCTTTTCTCTCTTAATCAAGACCCAAACCCCTTAAAAATTACACAATTTTAAACATGTTAAATATATACATATTGAAAACAAGAATGAAACATGGCAAGATGAAGAAGAGTCGAGTAAAATCAACTACAAAACTGTTTGAAACAATTGAAACAATCATCTATCTATACACATAATAAACGTGAAAATATGTGTGTGTATGTGCTTGTGTGTGGTTAGGGTGTCCACCTACACAGACAAGGTCTTCCGCATAGGGCCTCCCTCTTCTAAAGACCCACTGACACCACTGAAGGCCCCCAGACACCTCCAAAGGCCTCTAGAAACCTATGGCACACTTCCCCATAGGTCCTCACTTTCTCTAAAGACCCTTAAATGCTGCTGAAGGCCAACAGACACCTCTGATGACCCACAGGCACCTATGGCAAACTTCCTCATGGGGCCTCCCCTCCTCTGAAAATGCATAGACGACACCACTGAAGGTCCACACTTCCCCATAGGTCCTCTCTTTCTCTGAAGACTCTTAGATGCTGTTGAAGACCTATAGACAATTCTGATGACCCACAGACACCTATGGCATTCTTCAGGGCCCTCCATATCACATGACTCATAGATGCTGGTGGAAGCCCACAGACACTTCTGAAGACCCACGTACACAGTCGGCATATTGCCCATTGGAGCCTCCCTGCCTCTGAAGAACCATGGAAGCCACTGAAGGCCCGCAGAGACCTCTGAAGATGCACAGACACCTACAGCATACTTCCTTATAGGGTCTCCCTTCTTCTGAAGACCCATGGACATTGTTGAAGGCCCACAGACACCTATGGTACACTTCCCCATTGGCTTCCCTGCACTAGACTCATCATCATCATCATCATTATTTATATTCCACCCTATCTCCCCAGGGGGACTCAGGTCTGAAGACTCATAGAAGCCGCCTAAGGCCCATAAACACCTCTGAAGACCCATGGCACACTTCCCCATAGGGCCTCTGAAGACCCATAGATGCCACTAAAGGGTCACAGACACCTCTGAATGTTCATAAACATCTATGAGACTCTTCCCCACAGAGGCTTCCTCCCTTTGAACACCCATAGACACCTCTACAGACTCACAGACACCTCTGAATACCCACAGGCACCAATGGCACACTTGCCCATAGGGTCTCCGTTTATCTGAAGATCCATCGACACTGCTGAAGGCATACAGACATCTCTGAAGACCCACAAATACCAATGTCACACTTCCCCATAAAGACTCCCTTCCTCTGAACACCCATAGACATATCTAAAGACTCACAGGGACCTCTGAAGACCCCTATAAACTATGCCACACTTCCACCTTCCGCCTACCTCTGAAGACCCATAGATGCAAATGAAGGGCCACAGACATATCTGAAGACCTACAGGCTCCTACCGCTCATTCTTCCATAGAGCCCCCCTTCTTCTGAACATGCATAGACACCACTGAAGGCCCACAGACACCTATGGCACTCCTCCCCATAGGGCCATCTTGCCTCTAAAACTCAGAGATGCAGACACCTCTGATGACCCATAGATGCCACTGAAGGGTCACAGACCCTTCTGAAGATACATAGACCTCAATGGCATACCTCCCATAGGACTTCCCTGCCTCTGAAGACCCACAGACTATACAGAAGGTTCACAGATACCTCTGAAGACCCACATATGCCAATGGCATATAGGATTTCCCTTCCTCTGAATACCCATAGACACAATGGAAGGCCCACAGACAGCTATGGTTCCCCCAAAGGGCCTTACTTCCTCTGAAGATGCATAGATGCCACGGAAGGGTCACAGGCACCTCTGAAGGTCCATAAACACCTATGGCCGACTTCCCCTTCAGGCTACCCTAACTCTGAAGACTCATGGAGTCCACTGATGGGCCCAACACCTCCGAAAGCCCATAAAACACCTATGGCCAACTTGCCCTTTGGAATTCCCAGACTTTGAAGACTATTGGGGTCCGGTGAAGGGCTACCGACACCTCTGAAGGCCCATAAACACCTATGGCCAACTTCTCTGACTGAAGAATCATGGAATCTGCTGAAGGGAGTCTGAAGGTCCATAAACACCTATAGCTGACTTTCTCTTTGGGATTCCCTGACTCTGAAGAATCATGGAGTCCCCAGAAGGACCACAGACACCTGTGAAGGCCCATAAACACCTATGGCTGACTTCCCCTTCAGGCTTCCCTGACTTTGAAGACTCATAGAGACGTCTGAAGGGCCACAGGCACCTCTGAAGGCCCATAAACACCTATGGCCAACTTCTCTGACTGAAGAATCATGGAGTCTGCTGAAGGGCGTCTGAAGGTCCATAAAGACCTATGGCCGACTTCCCCTTTGGGCTTCCCTGACTTTGAAGAATCATGGAGTCCGCTGAAGGGACACAGGCACCTCTGAAGACCCATAAACACCTATGGCCGACTCCCCCTTTGGGCTTCTCTGACTCTGAAGAACCATGGAGTCCCCTGAAGGACCACAGACACCTCTGAAGGTCCATAAACACCTATGGCTATCTTCCCTAACCCTGAAGACTCATGGAGCCTGCTGAAGGGTCACGGGCACCTCTGAAGGACAATAAACACCTATGGCCAACTTCCCCTTCAGGCTACCCTGACTTTGAAGACTCATAGAGTCCTCTGAGGGGCCACAGGCCCCTCTGAAGGCCAATAAACACCTATAGCCAACTTCTCTGATTGAAGAATCATGGAGTCTGCTGAAGGACGTCTGAAGGTCCATAAACACCTATGGCTGACTTCCCCTTTGGGCTTCCCTGATTCTGAAGAATCATGGAGTCCGCTGAATGGACACAGGCACCTCTGAAGACCCATAAACACCTATGGCCGACTCCCCCTTTGGGCTTCTCTGACTCTGAAGAACCATGGAGTCCCCTGAAGGACCACAGACACCTCTGAAGGTCCATAAACACCTATGGCTATCTTCCCTAACCCTGAAGACTCATGGAGCCTGCTGAAGGGCCACCGACACCTCTGAAGGACCATAAACACCTATGGCCAACTTCCCCTTCAGGCTACCCTGACTTTGAAGACTCATAGAGTCCTCTGAGGGGCCACAGGCTCCTCTGAAGGCCCAAGAACACCTATGGCCAACTTCTCTGACTGAAGAATCATGGAGTCCGCTGAAGGGCGTCTGAAGGTCCATAAACACCTATAGCCAACTTTCTCTTTGGGATTCCCTGACTCTGAAGAATCGTGGAGTCCGCTAAAGGGCTACAGACACCTCTGAAGGTCCATAAACACCTATGGCTGACTTCCCCTTCAGGCTTCCCTGACTTTGAAGACTCATAGAGACGTCTGAGGGGCCACAGGCTCCTCTGAAGGCCCATAAACACCTATGGCCAACTTTTCTGACTGAAGAATCATGGAGTCCGCTGAAGGGCGTCTGAAGGTCCATAAACACCTATAGCCAACTTTCTCTTTGGGATTCCCTGACTCTGAAGAATCGTGTAGTCCGCTAAAGGGCTACAGATACCCCTGAAGGTCCATAAACACCTATGGCTGACTCCCCCTTCAGGCTTCCCTGACTTTGAAGACTCATAGAGTCATCTGAGGAGCCACAGGCACCTCTGAAGGCCCATAAACACCTATGGCCAACTTCTCTGACTGAAGAATCATGGAATCTGCTGAAGGGTGTCTGAAGGTCCATAAACACCTATAGCTGAATTTCTCTTTGGGATTCCCTGACTCTGAAGAATCATGGAGTCTGCTGAAGACACCTCTGAAGGTCCATAAACACCTATGGCTGACTTCCCCTTCGGGCTTCCCTGACTTTGAAGACTCATAGAGTCTGCTGAAGGGCCACAGGCACCTCTGAAGGCCCATAAACACCTATGGCCAACTTCTCTGACTGAAGAATCATGGAATCTGCTGAAGGGTGTCTGAAGGTCCATAAACACCTATAGCCGACTTTCTCTTTGGGATTCCCTGGCTCTGAAGACTCATGGAGTCTGCTGAAGGGCCACAGACACCTTTGAGAGGTCCATAAAGACTATGGCCGACTTCCCCTTTTCGGCTTCCCCGATTCTGAAGACTCATGGGGTCTGCTGAAGGGCCACAGGCACCTCTGAAGGTCCATAAACACCTATGGCCTGCATTCCCTTTGAGCTTCCCTGTCTCTGAAGACCTCTAGACCCTGGGGGCTGCAAAGGGACCGGCCATTAGGCCACCACAACATAAAGGAGCTCTGTTAAGGGGTTGAGAAACACTGGCTTAAAGGGCTGGGGACACAAATGTTAAGTTGTAGAAAGGACCTGTTTGGAGACTTGGAAATGGAGAGATGGGGGAGAAGAGCGTGCCACCCCTGGCCCAGGTGCTTGCCTTTGGAGAGCTCTTCTGCCCGGCCACGCGGCTGCAAGCGGAGGCTGACTGTGCGGCACGGCGCTGGCTGGGCGTCCTCTTCGCTGATTGGGCTCCGGGGCGAAGCAGCAGCCAGACGGGGCTTCCTTCCCCCTCCCCGAAGGGCCCCCTCGCTCCCTCCCTCCTTCCCTTCCTTTCCTTTCCTTTCCTTTCCCAGCCTCCCTTCCCGGCCTCTCCAGCCCGGGTTTTCCAAGCAACGCGGATGGGGAGCCCCGCCAAGGAGGGGAGCTGAGCCCGGGCTCTCCTTCTTCTTCCTCCGTTTGCAGCAACGGCGGAGGAGATGGACGCCAAGTCGGGCCCCACATCCACCCCCAGGGCCGGGGGTCCTTTTCCTTGGATCCTTGGGGAGCCCTGGGCTGAGATCTTGGCGACCTGATCCCCTTCTGGACCCCTCCTGCTTCTTCCTTCCATCCGCCATCCTTTTACGCACCAAGGAAGAGTGTGTGGGTCTCTCTCTCTCTCTCTCTCTCTCTCTCTCTCTCTCTCTTTCTCTCTCTCTCTTTGGGGAGCGTGTGGGAGGGGGGTTCCAATTGGGGAGGGGGTCAGGAAGGAAAGAGGGGGGGGTCTTCCCTCCAAGGAGCACCTGCTTCCGTCCCTTTCTTTGCTTGGATGCGGCTTCAGGGTTGAGTCCAAGCCAGGACCGGTTTTGGTGTCACCTCTTTTGGATGCTCTCCTCTGCAACCCTTCAAGCTCTTGAAGCAGAACCATCCAGACAAAACAAAGCTTGAGATTGGGAAGGAAAGCCTCTTATTGTCATGATCCCTCCATCTTTATCATCATCACTCCATCTTTTCTTACCCTAGCATGGCCTTCGGGTCTCCTCCAAAGCCTCCTCCAAAGCCAGCTCCTTCTGGGCACGTTTGGGACCCTTTCTTCCCCCTTCTCCGTTCTTCTTAGGACATCCCATGCCCTTTTGAGCCAACCGAGGACAATGTTGTGATGTTGGAGGTGGCTTAAGGCTCTCCACATTGTAGGTTCCAAGCTCAGGGCCCACCTAACGCTCCAGATTGGGCGAGTGAGTCACGACGACAACGCTGCACCGTTGGTTCCAATCTCTGGGCCCACCTCAAGCTTGGGCCAGATCGGGCGAGTGAGTCACGACGACGACAACAACGCTGCAGTCGTGGGTTGCTTCCCTGTGGATCGCATTTGGAACAAGAAGCCCACAGCATCAAGGATTGAAAGAACGAGAGACCGATACCAACCTTGATCCCAAAGCCCCAAGGATGTTATAATGGATTTGGAGACGTTGCTTTGGGGATCTCCAGACAGCAATGCCTGGATTGTTTACAAGTTGACTGTTTTGCCTTTCTTTAATCCCACCTTCCCATCTGCAAACTTGTGAAAGAGCCCAGCTGTCCAAACAGTGGACCTGCCAAGGACAGGCAATGTGTGCTCACCTTGAGGGCCCACCACCTACTGCTGTTGCTGAAACCAGGTGGAGAACGGGCCCTTCTGCTTCTGTTCCCACCACTGCTGTGGGTTTGGTCTCGCCGAAACAGTAACCCAAGGTGGACCTCGTTCTTTGATGGCTTCTCTGCGGAGAGTGAAAGTCTTGCTGGTCTTGAACCTCATCGCCGTGGCGGGCTTTGTCCTCTTCCTGGCCAAGTGTCGGCCCATCGCGGTCAAACATGGGGAGGCCTTCCACGAGGTGCGGCCCAGAGCGGGAGCCGCCAATCTCTCCAACATCCCCGTCCAGGACACCGTCTTGAAGAGGCTGTCCCTCCTTGAAGACATTGTCTATCGCCAGCTCAACGGTAGGTAGGCTCCTTCATGGGTGGGATTGTCTGTTTCACACTTAGATGGAGGAGGTCCAAGGTGCCACCTTTGATCTCCATGTCCAGTTTTAGTTGGGGGAGAAGACGTTTCCATGAGATTTGAGAGGACCATTGCACTGATTGAAAATGCAGAAAGCACTGGATGGTATGTTGGTGTTTCCATTCAGTGCTGGAGACATTCCTTACACAAAATGCTCCATTTGACAGTAGAGTGTGTTGGAGTCTCCTTCTTGGATGGGCTTAGATCAGTGGTTCCCAACCTTTTTATGACCAGGGATCACTTGACCAGGGCCACTTTGACCAGGGCCGCTTCGACCAGGGACCCCTTTGACCAGGAACCATATTGACCAGGGACCACTTTGAACAGGAACCCTTTGAGTAGGGCCTACTTGAGTAAGGATTACTTGACCAGGGACCACTTTGACCAGGAACCACTTGACCAGGGACCACTTTTACCAGGGACCACTTTGACCAGGAACCACTCAGACTAGGGACCACTTTGACCAGTGACCACATTGACCAGGACCACTTTAACCAGGGACAATATTTACTAGGGACCATATTTACCAGGAACTACTTTGACCAGGGACCACATTGACCAGGGACCACTCTCCAACATTCGTACCAAAAGGGTTACGAATCAGTTTTTGATTAGGTTTGGTTATTTGGGGTGCTGATTCAGAAAATATGCATTGAATAGACCACATCAGCTCTAGTTTCCAATACAGAACATATCCCATCCAGTAGTCACCATCTGCTTGCACACAGAAAACCATATTTAATAAGCCTCAGCACTATGAGAGGGTTTCACGAGACCAGTCGCTCTCGTCGCAAGAGTGTAGTAACTGTGAGTCCGCGGACCATATTTTAGTAGTCCACAGATCACAGGTTGGGAACCACTGGTTTAGATTGTGCTTTTCTTATGTGGCAGAGGGTTGGTTTGGATGGCCCTTGGGGTCTCTTTCAATTATGCTTCTATGACTCAACATCCGTTGATGTTAACGGAGCTACTTCTTAGCTGTGTAGACCTATGGTGCTTCTACATCAGCTATGGGCAAACTCCGGGCCTCCAGGTGTTTTGGACTCCAACTCCCACAATTCCTAACAGCCTACCGGCTGTTAGGAATTGTGGGAGTTGGAGTCCAAAACACCTGGAGGGCCAGAGATTGCCCATGCCTGATCTACTCCAACTTTTGGTCCTCCAGGTGTTTGGGAACTCTACTCCCAGAAGCCCTGACCAGCTTGTCCAATGGTCAGGGATTCTGGGAGCTTATGTCCATCCGAAACATCTGGAGGAACAAAGTTTTGAACACCACTGCTGTAGGAAGAATGCAGTGTGACCCAGAACTTGGACTGCCATGGCTCAATGCTGCGGCATCTTGCGTAGCCCATGCTAGCATTGGTGAATGCGCTCCGTTAACATATGTTTTCATAACATATATTCTTTACATGTGTCAGGTGTGTCTGAAGTTTGTAGGAAGTCTTTCCCTGATGTCAGATGGAGGGTAGGAGGCATTGTGTGGGCTTCCCTAAAGTTTGTGGCATAACTCGGAAACTCAGGATGCATTTGTCTATGCATGTTGTGCATTAGCTTTTGAACTTGGCCCAAGACTATTCACTGAATTTCCTAGCTCATGACAGACTTGGCCCTAAGCTCCTAAGACTTGGTGTACATCAGTGTTTCTCAACCTTCCTAATGCCCTTAATACTGTTCTTCATGTTGTGGTGACCCCCAACCATAACATTATTTTCGTGGCTACTTCATAACTGTAACGTTACTACTGTTACGAATCATAATGTAAATATCTGATATGCAGGATGTATTTCATTCCCTGGACCAAATTTGGCACAAATACTTGAAAGGCCCAAATTTGAATACTGAGGGGTTTGGAGGGAGGAATTGATTTTGTCATTTGGGAGTTGTAGTTCCTGGGATTTATAGTTCACCTACAATCAAAGAGCATTCTGAACTCCACCAAGGATGGAATTGAAGCAAACTTGGTGCACAGAACTCCCACGACCAACAGAAAATACTGGAAGGGTTTGGTGGGCATTGACCTTGAGTTTTGGAGTTGTAGTTCATCTACATCTAGAGAGCACTGTGGACTCAAACAATGAGGGATCTGGATCAGTCTTGGCATGGATCTTCAATATGCCTAAATGTGAACACTGGTGGAGTTTGGGGAAAATAGATCTTGACATTTGGGAGTTGTAGTTGCTGGGATTTATAGTTCACTTACAATCAAAGAGTATATAATTGGGCCAGACTTCCCACAGAAAACCCCCATGACCAAAATAAAATACTGTGTTTTCTGATGGTCTTTGGTGATTCCCCAGGGGTCCTGACCCCCAGGTTGAGAAATGCTCCTCTGGGTCTTCTGGTGTGACTCTGTGGTGATCCTGGAGGACCTAGAGATTCAGAGAGAAAGCGCTTCTTGTTTTCCCAAATTACCTTCCAGTTCCTACTCAATATCCAATTCTGCAACTTTTGAGATTCCTCCTGATGCCACTGTTTCTGTATTTGCTCAGGGTACATCTACACTGTACATTTAATGTTGTTTAACTCCATTTGAACTGCCTCAATAGCGCAGTGGGTTACACCACTAACTGCAGGAAATTTGCTGACCCAAGGTTTAGCAGTTCAAAACTGCAAGTTGGGATGAGCTCCCGGCCATCAGCCCTAGCTTCTGCCTTCCTAGCAGTTCAAAACATGTTATGCGAGTAGATCAATAGGTACCGTCTTGGCGGGGAAGTAAAAAGGGCGCCCCATGCAGATAAGCAGATATGATGGCAAGGATTGGAGAAGTCTATGGACAAGAGGCTCCTTGGCATGAAAAAATGGGACAAGAGCATCTCCCCATGGCTGGAGTTGAGCATCTCCTCCAGACGCAGGAAAGGGAAAGGAAAGGAAAGGCCTTTACCTATGTGTGTATTGTATGTCGTTGCTTACTGTGTAAACAAAGCACTGAATATTTGCCTATATATGTAGAACTGTAATCCACTCTGAGTCTTTCCGGGGAGATAAAGCAGAATATAAATGAAGTGTGTTATTATTTGATACAACAAGATTAGTACACAGCAAACAAGATCACTATGCTGGCTTTTGTATTCAGTTGCTATTATTGTTATTGTTATTATTGCTATTGTTATTATTGTTAATGTTATTATTATGTATTATTATTATTTTTATTATTATTATGTATTATTATTACTATTACTATTATTGTTATTATTGTTTTTATTATTATTTAAAACACAACAAGATTAGTACACAGCAAACAAGATCACTATGCTGGTTGTTGTTTTGGATCACATGACAGACATTTCCCAAGTGTCTAGGACTATTATTATGTATTATTATTATGTATCATTGCTATTATTATTATTATTATTATTATTATTATTATAGAATCATAAAATCATTGAGTTAGAAGAGACCTCATGAGCCATCCAGTCCAACCCCAGGAAAATCGTATTCAGAGCACCCCCGACAGATTACTATTACTATTGTTATTATTATGTATTATTATTGTTATTGTGATTATTATGGCTCATTGCTATTGAATCATAGGAGCTATCATTTTACAATGTCTTTAGCCTTCTCTGCCAAAGTGTGCTGGTTTCTGCCCAAACTACAACTCCCAGGACACCATAACATTGAGCCAGGGCAGTTAAAAATGGTGTCAAACTGCATTCATTCTGTAGTGTGAATGCACTCATATGTTTATGTCCGACATTGATTGACTTGTACATTAGCGAATGATGAGTTTGGGTTGTAATCCGGATTGTCTTCTGCAGTCACCTTAACCAACAATGGATATAATAATAATAATAATAATAATAATAATAATAATAATAATAATAAGTCTTTATTTATATCCCACTTTTCTCCCTCTCGGGACCCAAAGCGGCTTACAACATATTAAAATCATGTAAACAACAACCCATATACATTGATAATAAGTATATTTCCTAATATCCCATTTCCTTTGACTCAAGTGTTAAGCTCCTTCATAGAAAGCAAGCATTCAGAATAAGCTTTTCAGAATTTAAACAATTACGTTTAAGCGGCAGCACGACTGCAGTCGTTTGCAGAGTCGGCTCTTGTGTTTATTTCTGGCTCTGTAGGTTCAGCTTGCAAAACACAAAAGACCTCCAGCCAGAGGAAACCTTGATTAGAAATGCAAATGTACTTGTGCCAAGAGACTGCGATTTCAAATTGTTGTTGTGAAGCATTGTTATTACAATAGATTCTTAGTTAACCGGAACTCCAGCAACCAGAACTCGCAAGCAACCGACAAAGATAGAAGAAATAATTATCTATCTATCTATCTATCTATCTATCTATCTATCTATCTAGGCCAACATACCCGTGTTTATCTGTTTGTACCACAAAGGCAGTTGCTAGGTGAAGTGGTTCTCTCTCTTTCTCTCTCTCACACACATATACACACACACACATACATATACATACATATATACATACACACGAGCTTGGGTACCCAATGGTGCCCATGTTATTTAAAAAAGGCATTGTTTGTTTTGGGGTCTTAGTTAATTGGAAACACTATTTCTTAGGAGCGTGCCAAATGTGGTCCAGGTCCATTATCGAAAGGAGTCACAGTGTTCTGCCTTGACGCAGGGTGAACTACAACTTCATCCTGTTGAGTCAGTCCCCCAAACCCCTCCAGTCTGTTCAGTTGCTTATCAATTCCTCCCTGTTTGCTGTGTCCCGTAGGAAAGGGTAGGAAAGGGTTAAGGGAAAGTCAGTGGGTGGGGTCATGCAAATTCCACACCAATGGAGAACCCTGGGATTCCTGCCTGTGGTGGAGGAAACAGATCAAATCTAGGATGAAATTGGAACTCACCCTTGGAACTCGATATACATATATAGCATCCCTACTTTGCGGATTTTCACTTTTCGCGGGTGGTCCTGGAACGTAACACCCACGATAAGTGAGGGAACACCACACACACAC